TAATTACAACTCAACCTGACCATGATTTTCAAACTCTCAATAAAGCACACACAAAGTATAATGCAACTACAATTAAAAACTTGGTCGATTATCCTGAGTGCCAAATGCAACCTCTGCATTTCTAGAAGGGAGAGTATTAAGAACTATCTACATTTACAAGAAAAAATAAAGGCCTTAAATATAAAAATAGTAGTGTGTATGTGTGTGTGTACATGTGTGTATGCATATACACTTTTTTTATTTAAAGACCAAGTGAAATCAGAGCATTCTCTCTCACTTTTACTGCAGCTCGGCACATATCAGCAACCATCCGACCAGCAACTCTTGTCTCAAATATATTTGAAACAGCAAAGTTAAAAACCTTCTCCAAGGCCACCTAAAAAAGGAACATAAAATGGAAGTTACCTTATCATTTAAAGAAGGCATCACGGAATATTTACGTTTACACAGAAGGTAAATGTGCATAATACTATAGCATTTTGAAACAGTCACAAACATGATCAAATTAAAATTCAAAACTGAGAGACAGAGAAGTCAGCAAGAAGTTCTGCAGATTACCTGAAGCTGAGTGAAATGTAGCCACCCTTCAAGTTGGTCATATTATGAATGGAAATTAAACAGCTTATATGAACAGAAGCTGCTCAGGAAGATCTTGAATGTTATCAACATACATGAGTAACTCTGGTTCAAAGTATACTAAATCTACCATCTTCAAATATAAGTAAAATATAATTTGAACGCAAACAGGCTAAAATATGTTATCCCAACCTGCATGGAAAGAATCTGTCCATGTAACGCCATGGATTCTCCAACCTCCTCTCTCACAATTACTTTAATCCAGATAATTTTTCTGATCTTATTATAGCCTCATGGCTTCTTGATTTTTCTGCCCAGTTGAAGGAGTGGTAGGGAGAGGGGGAGAAGTGGAAAGCAAGGAAGTAAATTAAGTAAAAATTACCAGAGATATGAATATCACAACCTAAAATTATAAAAAATAATTAAGTGATACAATATACCAGCCATTCACAATCAAAAAAACACAGCCTCATATAAAATTATATGGAAAGACCATGTTATACCTACCTGAAATATATCTTTTGAACACTGAGTAAGGATTGTACTGAAAGTTGAAGACAGACCTAATTCCACTAGACTCTCCAAATGAGTCATTTTCTCAGTTTCAGTCTCCTCTCTGGTTTGTTCTAGCGTGCTGCTTTCTATAAGTCCAAAACATCTACACAGATAGAATAATTGCACTTTTAGTAAATGGAAGGGGGAAGTTTTATTATGGTTTTCATGACAAACTTTCACCAATTCTACTCACCTATCCATAAACTGTAGTACAAAATCCTCAAATTCAGCAGTTGCAGAGCACAGTTCTCTTTCCACCTACAGTTTTCCAACAAGAGAAAAACGCAAGTGGGATTTTTCTTAAGGAAGCAACCTATTTTGTTTCCTACAGTAACAAGTTCAATAAGACTTTCAATTTAAGTGAGATGGATGACAGTGTGTTTTTCAAACTGATAATTAGTTTCAAGTACACTAGATGAAACAACAATCATATTTTCTTTAAATTGTCCTATGAGATTTCCTGGCTTTTATGTTTAGTCAAATAAGCTCTCAGGGTGAAGTAGGTCTGTTTCCATGGACACAGCCTTTAGCCTCACTACTGATCCTCCTTCCTAGCAAGGTTGTCTGCGAGTGCCAACAGTAGTGACAGAATTGGCTGTGCTAACGTATTTATGTTAAGCACTCAGCAAACAAACTCCTCTGATATTGAGTGCTGCAATTCTGGGGCACTAGCTTGCAATAGCTTTTAGAGTATTTACAGTCTGTCTGCTCCATAACTACCACCTACTCTTAAAACTCCAAAGACAGTCTCCTAACAGCAGACAAAACAGGTTTTATGCAGCAGTTTCAGCTACCATAGGCAATATTGCTGCTGCCTCATATGTAGCGTGCCAGGTACAGCTTCACTATCAGTGCTGGAATTGCTGCTGTTTAATAAAAGTAATTAAAAAAGAAACTCTGAAGTCTAGCAGTAAATAAAGACAGCAGTGAAGGACAGAAACTGCTTCCCATTCCCTCCTGTATTTTTTGCTCCATGAAAAAGACAATATGTAAGAACAGCAGTGGAAGAATGGAGAGCAGGGAACTGTAAGATTACAGATGTGCACAGGCAGTGCTGCGAAGCAGTGGGCAGGTGGGGAGGCAGTGTCTGACAGCAATGAAAGAGCAGCAAAGGATAGAACACAGAAGAGGGAGATGAGGCTCACTCTCTAATGGTATTACTAGCTCTTAATTAGAAGAGATTTAACGAGCATCTGAAGAGACAGCAACAGCACCTTAATCAGAAGAGAGAAGCATGACTACAGGAACACTTTTAAAGAGGTGTGAGTATTTTTATATGCTTTCCCATAAGGTGAAAACAGCCCTTAAGTGTTCAAGAATGCATTAGTTTTCTGAAAAATAAATACAAACAGAAGCAGCATCCCATTATTTTTAAACTTATGAAGTTTTCAACAACAGGAGACACCAAGCTCCTTTCAAAGCCTCCAAACCTGGTAGTCTTTTATCCTGCATTAAGAATTTTGACTAGAAGGGATATGTCTATCTCTCATAACAACACTGGAATCACCTGCATTTTCCTTTCGATTTACTGTTACCTTGAAAGTCTTACAGTAATAATAAGCTTCAAACCTTTAATAATCATGAAGCTGCTACTTTGTCAGAATCACAGAAAAATGCTGGTGGTAAGGGACCTCTCTAGAGAAACTATCTAATGCAATCTACTCAAAGCAGGAGTAGCTCAGGCTCAGACTGAGGGTGCACAGGACACTGTCCAGCTGAGGTAAGATAAAAATATTAAGCAATTCAAATTTTACACACATCCACAACAACCTATCACTAATAAAAAAAAATGCCAAGAATACATGGCCAATTCCTAAGTAGATGTCAACTCCATCAAATTGATCAAGCAAATGTAGTTTGTAAGTATTAGGGGGTACATGGACTTTTTTTTAAAAAATACAACTTTACTCCAAAAAAAAAAAAAAAAAAGACAGCAGCAAACTAGTAATATTTCTAAAGAAAAAGTTACACTGCTAGAAATTCTGAAGTGTAGGTTATTATATTATTTTTCATAGTTCTACAGCATTCTTACCTCTGACAGGTCATCTCTTTCTTGCAATACAGATGAACAGTCTACTAAAGGCACCAGAGTAGAAAACGTTGCAATAAACTGGAATGTAATCTGTTGAGATTGCAAAGAGTTCTAATAATACTGTATTACACACTTAAAAGAAAAAAAGCTTCTGAAATTAGTACCTGGGAGCTAAAGCAGAATCGCTACATTAAATAAATAAATCCAAAGAGTACTTCTCCCAGTCTAAAAATTCAATAATTATTTCTGATTCCAAGCAAAAAATTCCCAAGACCTTCAAGTGGGAACTATACATCACAGATTTCTGTTTTTTTTTCTGATTTCTGATCTGTTTTCTGCTAAATTTTAAAACTGCACAAGTTAATATTTATGTTTTTTGAATATTCAATGAATATGAATTCCTGAAGATAAGGGTCTTTAAGATGTAATTTGATAAAAAATTGGCAGAAAGAAGTGCTTCCTTGATCTGAACCTCTATGTTGTCTCATAAAGGTTAGATGACTTGCGATTCAACACCATCAGTAACAAATCAGTGTAAGAGTAGATTGTTTTAAGCAACACAGATCCCTTGGCATTGTCCAAAAAACTACAGGCAGTATTTTAAGTTAAAAGCTTGTAACAACTTCTTACAAATAAATATTGTGCAGGAATAGGGCTGCAAAATCAGGCTAAGAAAAATGAGTTTTCCTTGCTTTTGTATCTTTATTTTTTAAGCTGTTAGAATGACCTAATTAGTCATATTCTAAAAACTGTGCACTCACCATGCATTTGCTGAAGTCATTTGGATCCACCCCAGGCAATGCTCTCATCAGTAGAGGTAGCATGTGTGTAGGACCTTCAGGAAACCACTTCCCCCCTGATACCAAGCTACGCGCTACTCCAATCACACAGCTTAGAGTAGCTGTGAGCTGATGAGGTTCAGTCAATGTCTCAAGTGCAGGATACGTTCTAGAAATTTTCAGAGCAGCCATATTAGGAACAATAACAATTCCAAAAGTCTTCAAAGAAAGTGGATTATACATATTTTCTGCAAAAAAGTTAGAAAATTTCTACAAGAAAAAAAAAAAAGCTAATCAACAGTTTAAAATTGTTTTTGCAATGTATTTCCGATGTTTTTTTAGAGTATGTTTCTTCCAGCTGACTAGCTCTATTCACAACATTCAGAAGAAAATAATTTTGTTAGTTATTGCAGCATAGGGATTAATAACTGCACAGAATTCTAGAGCCAGTTCTACTACGTTTTGGGTTTTTGGATTTCAAGAGCTAAGTGGCACAGGTGGCACTGTTCAATTATATGCTTAGTGGCTTATTATAAAAGACAGTCCTTATAAAATTCAATTTATGATAATACTGAAAACATACACATAAAATAATGCATGCTCTGTACTTGAAAGAGTAAGATTCTTGTTGCAAGCATGAACATTTGCCTTTATTACCTCTAAATAGATACAGGATATCATTTAATGTTACATTAGAGTTCATAATTCTCTAACTTGCTAAATTACAAGATTTTTAAACCTGCTCTCTTTACACCAAGGCCTTTTAATAAATTGCATAAGATTTCTTATTGTTATTAACCACTACAGTTCCATCTGGAGTCATTCTGCTACCCCGACCTACATCACTCAAAGCAGAACGAAGAAACATTACTCAAAATGAACATGGAATTCCAGCCAAGACAAACATACTACTGACAGTTTGATCAACTGAACAGATAGAGTCTGTTCTCCAAATTGACATCATAGTCGTAACCAACATGGACTTCCATTGCTCTCTTTCTTGGAACTGCTATATTTGAATTGTTTTCAAATAACAGCAAATTAATCAAGTTCTTATAAAGAGTTGAGCCAAAAAGGTGCGGAACTCGGGAAAGGCTCTTAAGACAAATTAATTTCTAGATTGGTTTTACAACATGGATAATTAAAGGGAAAGTGCTAAAGATTTGCATAGGCACTAGGAAGAAAGCTGTTCAACTAGGAAAAAAATATAGTATTTTGAAATTACTCATTGAGAATTGCTTTTCATCCCATGAGAATTGCTTTTCATCCACCCACTATCTGACATAAAATGCTAATAGCAGTGCAGACAACCTGGGGACCACCCTAAATTACACAAGCTATTACACAAGTTTACGGTGTAAACTCCCTAACTTCCAGGTAATATTTCACTAGCAAGACATTAAAAAAAAAAAAAAAAAAAAAAGAAGGAAAGGAAAGTCGTCCTCACTTTGTCCTGACGCAGGTGACTGCTCTGAGATGTGTGTAAAGTTTACCTGTGCAGCACTCACTGCTAACATTCAATAGCAGCAGGGATAATCTACTGTTTAATGTGACTTGGAGTATATATTTGCCAATAAGAGAATGGAAAAGTTGCAGTGTTTCTGTAGAACTTACTTCTCAAGTACAGGTGGAATTACTAACTCAGGACGCATCAGTGCAAGGTTCTGCAGTGCTTGAGCAGCCTCCAGGCTTCCAGTTTTACTGAACATAGCCAGAAGAACAAGTTGAATAATGCATTTTACAAACTCGGTAACATCCTGATCAGTAAGTTTATGACTATCAGGCACAGGAGTTAACCATGTCACTTTCTTGTAGCGCTCACGATGTAGCCTCCTTACAACACCACTGGGTAACCTTTGAAGCAGTTTCATCAGTTTGTTCTGTTGGATATACAAGAAATGCTTCATTCGATTTCCATTATTCAGCAATAGCAAAACCTAACAAAGAAAAACTTCAAAAAGTTCTAAAATATAAGGTCATAAGTTGATCATTAAGCTTCTACTGGCAAAACAGCAAGGTTATGCTGCCAACACTTTACCTCTTGTTTCTTTTAAAATAAGGAAAAGAATGGGCAAAGAATACAGTCAAAAACCAAAATTACTCACCAGAAATTTGGGTCCTTGAGAGTATTCTCTGTACATTTACATTTACGTAAACACCCTGTTCTAAAGCGAGTCAGCTCCTCTGTCACAGCTTAGACCAGCCCTACCACTGCAGCTTGCAGCTTTTACCAGCTATCACAGACATGCCCTCGCATTCTCTAGCAGAAAAATCCCCTAGCTACACCATCAAAAAGGCTATACTTCAAGCTAGATATGCATTAAAAAAAAAAAATCAACTTTACTTTTGGCTAACCCAAATTATATTTTGCTATCTGGGACATGGTAGGTCAGCAATTGGTAGGTCAGGAGGCCTGAAGGAGACTCCCATATGCTGCATTCCCCACATCAGAAGCTTAGTGCAATTTGAGTTACAGTGTGATGACACAGACTGGAATTTAAAGACTCAATATATTATAAAACCAAAAGACAAACGGGTGGGGAACACTGTGCCCCTATCTGCATCTTTGATTTGACAAGTTTGACTGCTAACATTACAGGCAACAAAGTTTTTGTCTTGAGAGGCAAGAAACTCACCAGCCAGCGCCCATTATTTGAAGGATGATAGAAAGAGGCGATGCTATTGAACAATCCAGACAAGTGCTTCTGCACTAGCTTACTTGGTCCACCCTGTCCAAAATAAAACATGCAGCTTTACTATGAGGATCAAGTTTAAGATGAAAAGGCAGCACACAGCACTATGAGATATCAACAAGCATTCCCAATGAAAACAGCCATTGACTCAAAGCATCAAACACTATTTGCAAGCTCCTCCCTCCCAACTCAGCACTAAGCAGCACTCTCTCCCCCATCTGATGTGGGAAGGTATGCCATGAAGTGAATGAATTCTGGACAGCAAGTCTAAGCGTGCATTTGCAGGGGTATTTGTAGCTGGCAGTGAACCAGTAAGATACTGTACTAAAATAAATCCTGGGACAGGACAAAACAGAGCCAAAAAGTTTCTGTAGGAAGCTAAACAGCAGAAAGAGACTTATTTTAAATGCACAGTTGCTTACAGTTTAGCATTAATAGCTTGTTGTATTTTGCAAAAGTGCTACTAACCATCATGGCTGTGATCCACATTACTGCATGTCCTACATCATAAGCATTTGTTAAAAACCTTGGAACAACAACTTGGTTGCTACCCACTGGAAGATTCAAACTCCTCAAAATCCTGGTAAAAATCTGCAAGAAAAAGTTACTTGCTGTTTATTAGCAACATTATTAAAATAGTATCAGTTTAAAACATTACTAGAACAGACTGGTTCCACCATATTTTGTTCCATTCTCTTGACAGAGCAACTATTCTCTGAATAGAAAAAAGGCATGGACAGTTTAATCTCTTGAGACTGAGACTAGGACAGGAGAAGCCTTTTTACAGAAAGCCAAAATATTCCATTTCCTCAAATTCAGAAAAACTCGGTAGCCTAACATTCAAGTTAAGAATCATTTATTTCTTTTTCTGTAATGAGATAACCTGAAATAATTACAAACATACTATCTCGAGTTACATAATTTCAAGTATACTATCTCTTTGATACTACTGAAGAGGCATATGCAGGTGTATCAGTTGCAAAACAAATTTTCACCCATTTCCCTTAAACTGGATCTGTTAATCTAGAAGTCCTTTCCCACAGCTCTGCAACTTGAATGCTACGCAGCAAGCCATGGATCTCTCATCTGCCTTAAACTTGCAATAAAATAAAAATCTTGAAATAGATATATTTAAACAGAATAATCAGTCAAAAGTTTAATTAAATGGGAATTAAACAAAACTCCAGAAAATCCTGGCATCAGATATAGGACCAGAATATTTAAGGAGACTGCATCATGTATGCCAAGGGCAAGTAACAAGGAAAAGAGATAAACCTGAAATAAGCTAGTCTTCATAACACAGTGATACCACTGTGTTACAGTGTAACTACAGGGTAACTACAAATAAAATAAAATAAAGAATTATTTGTTGAATAAATACGATTAATATTTATTTTCATAGAGTGATCAATATTACCTTTGGTACGTATGGATCCCAATCTATATACCCAATGTTGTCAGTGGCCAAACGAGCAAAAAGGTTTACTAGATGCTGAAAACAACCAAGAAACATGAAAATATTCATAAGAATACATTTACAAAAACAGGCATAAAACCTTTCTAGTCTGCCTTACAGTTGCAAGGCAAAAGGTATCCATAGAAGTAAATCACTTGTAAAGTAAGACTTTACACCACCAGAAGTCACTAATACCGTATTTCATAACACATCTGCAGGGAGTTTCTACCTGAAGGAGGCAAAGTCATTACTCAATGCTTATGAGTAAGCAAAAAAAAAAAAAAAAGTACAAGTTCCTTGAAACACACAGCCTATCAGCACATACACCCCATCTCTAACTTCAGGTCTTTTTGAAGGTGTACTCAAACTCTTCTCCTCCTCCACACTCTGTATTAACACACAGGACAGAACACACCCACCATCACTCTAGTTTTCTAAACCACTTTGTCACGTCAGCTCTGAAGGACAGTACATGAAGAACAAAACACAAACTTGTATGTGAAGTATGCACTGCAAAAGCCTCCAGCTTTTGTTAAGAAGTATCTTTTCCCCTTTTGAGCAGCTCCCACATCACAGAAGAACAAGCTGTGGTTCCGTTCCCACAAGTTGCCTGTAATAAGTCTCAGAGTGCTTCAAACACAACTCTCAACACCTTTTTACCAACAGGGTGTAGAAGACTTCATATCTCTGTGGTGAACATTTGGAACAAACTCCAGAAGACAGTAGAGAGTCCTCACAAAAAACCTCAATATGAAAGCAATTTTTTGCTTTTGCTTTTCAAGGCAAAATCTTGAAATAGAACAGGCTTCACTTTGGTTATAATGTATACAGACTGGCATGCAAAATGCACTTGGGGATCACACAGTTCTCTAACAGAAACCTCCTATCCACTTCAATACTTTTTGATATTCAATTTTGACAATTTTTTAGTAGAGAACTATTTGGATCAGTTAGTATTAGAAACTGGCCTAGAGAATACTTTGAAGTATGTGACCCTATCCAAATACATTTTAAGAATCCTTTTCAATACAAAGATGAGAAAGATGAGCTCTGGACAAGACGTGCGGTTTGGGAAACCGGGAGAAACAAGGAGAAAAAGCAGTTATCCCAAGACAAACTGCCCCCCGTTATCTGTCAACCTAGAAAACCTAGATTAGACAGCACACACACATGCATCCAACAGCACACTGAGCTGCAGTGATAATGAGCCCAGGTGACTGAACAAATTCAACTGTTCAGCTTCTACAGGAACCACCATATTTCTAGAAAATGGACCTGCTGGGCCTGAATAGTGCCTTGCTTATAAGGTTGGGTTTCCAAATACCTATGGCTTGTCTCTCGGGCATTATTTGTTAGGTAGCATGGCAGTATTGTGCATCCACAAAGAATTAAGACAGCCAGAGAGACCTGTTTCACGAGTCCAAAACAGTCCTGGAAGGTGTTCTGAGGAAAGACTAGGACTAAGGGAAAAAAATGAAGTGTCACTATGATACCCTGACTTTAGAGGCAGGAAGAAGGGGAAGGATATCCTCACCAAAATTCACCAGTACTCCTTTTATGAGCTCTTCCAAGTATGAAAATATGCATCAGATGTTCAAAGTGCCTCATCACTTCTAGGAGTGCCTTTGAGCTATGGTTAAAACAGAAGGAAGGGCTTAACACAATCCCACCCAATTAAAAAGCTTTTGTCATTGAGGCTAAGAGATTCAAAGCACACTTCACCTCTCAGTCTGAAGGATGCAATAGCTTTTGAAAAAAACATAAACTGAGTTCAGGACTATCACACCTGCCACAGCCTGAAGACAAGCACTACAGTATTTTAAGTCACAGTTCTTTATCTACCTCTGCTTGACACTAGAAAATACCCACTGAAAACTTCGTTGCCACGCACCTCAAAGGCGATTGATTCTAGTTTCTTTCAAATAGCAAGTCCAACTCCTGCCGAAGCAAGCCAAGAAAAAAATCTTGCTAGGTACTAGAGGCTTAAATTGAATTGCAAAGCCAGGGCCCACGTGTCTAATACTATCTGAACCCAAGCTTGGCAAAATGAGCGAGCCTGTCTTTTAGATGGACAACGCAGCAGAGGAAACATGAAGCAAAAGCATCGTGGAAAACAAAGATTGTGCCTTCTCAGCAAACCAGGAAATCAGTGGAAGAGCAAAAATATCAGACTCATGAAAATGTTGATTAGAGCAGTTGACAGAAGCAAGCCAAATAATTACACTAAACGTGCGGGCTGTCATCCCTCTGTCAGAAAAAGTAGGTAGAATTGTGCTTTTTTTTTGATAACTACCAGGAATATGCAGAAGTGGCTACAGACAATCCTAAATAAAACTTAGAAATAATCTCTGTTCAACTCCAGACAAGCATCAACAGTTCATCAAAACACAGTGGTGAAACATGATTCAAATCAGAAAGACCTAAGCACAAGCTCTTTCATGCAAAAGTTGCCAGAAACCCAGAGACTGTGTGTGCTACAAAGGTGACGCTCAATAGTACTACGGAAATCAGCTCTCTCTGAAGATACCATGTCATCGTCCTTGAATATAAAGATAGGAGATTAATGAAAAGAGACAGATGGTCAGTGAGCTTATGTTCATACTGAGTCCAGAAAAAGCCTAGTAATTCACCAAGTTTCACTGCAGTACAGCCAAGGAATTGACCAGTTGACATCAACTGCACCTAAAATGCTGATACCACTGCCTCAAGAATGAGATTTGTTATATTTTTTCAAGCTTACACCTCATCATATGAGATGATCAAAAAGCCACACAGGCAAATTGTAGAGGGTTTTGCTTGAGAGATATTGTCCACTGCTATTTTTGGCCACAGAGAGTGCAGTACCTACTGCTTAGCATTTAGCCTGAGGAAAGAAATACAGAAATGAAGTTTCTACAAATGAGGAAAAGAGAGAAATAAAGCATCTGTCGTAACAGGAGAAGCATACATAGAGTGAACATAATCACAGGCAGTTGTTCAAAGGAAGATACTACATTACTGCTCAAAATTAGGCATCATTAAGAAGGTGGTATATTATAAGGATGGAATTTTACACAGTTCTCACCGCAGCAATTACAACAGCACTTTGCATCATCACGAGCATTAACAGCCATCTGGAAAATGCCAGCATTTCCAAGGGAAGGGAAAGCTGCCTGAGCAAGCAATTAAACAATGCTCACCAAGCACAATGCTGCTTATTTACTGAGCCAGTAACTGCTTGTTAACTGCTTGTTAATCATAAAATTATCAACTATCCCTTCTCACATTACATAAAGCATAAAAAAGTTGTGTCACTGTTTTTTTTAGATGTTTTGCAAGCATACTGTACAAATATTTAAATGAGTCTTCTGTATTTTAGATAAAGAGTAAATACTTACCCCTTCCCATTGGGGAAGATTTTGAACTGACACCCAAAGGCCTATAAATTCATCAAACCAAAGCCTGCAAGAGAACAGAATCAAACTAACTTCAGTGTTGTGAAGGCAACTGCTCCACAGACATATACTGTTTACCCTTCTGGGTGGTCTCAGGAAATCATTCCCCTCCCCAACTCAGGAGAAGAAAAAAAAGAAAAAAGAAAAAACCATAATGGAGACACCACATTTCATCTCATGTAACACCCTCCCTAACCTCAACTTTGATTACAAGTTTCAGGCCTAGATTCCTTTATCTCTTATTGTTTGTCATTTTCCCCTTCCACACAAACATTGCAAAAACAGTCTCCTTATCTACTTCAGCTTCATCATTTTCTTATTACATACTTCCATCTTAATACAGGTAAACCACATGAAAACAAATCACTTTCTAGCTTAAACTATTAAGTCTATTTCTATCATCCGACAGTTAAAATTGCCATTAGCTTTATTCTGATTTCATTCAAGGCCAGAGGTTTAAAAAAAACTACCACAATCACATTTCCATTGCTATTGTTTTCAAATATCAAATTCCATGAAGACATGAACATAAGATAAACTTACATTAAGGAGACAGAATATGTATTGACTCATATGATGTCTTCAGATATGAGAGAGAGTTCTTTTTATCAGCAAAAAATACCGCAAGACTAGATATTCAGTTATACTCACTTGAAACCTTTATGATGAAGGTCTGGAGGAAGGGTGGTAGGTAGAAATAACTCAAAGTAGGTGATGGCCTTTTGCATGGTAACATCAAATGGACACATTAAAGGACGCCATTCATCTAACATCTCCTCAGTGGCATCTTCTGGAAAATATCTGAAAAAAATGCAAGTATTGAATGCGTGCAACTTAGCTTTAAAGATAGTGTTTCTCCCCCTCAAGCTGAAAAAAAAAAAAAAAAAAACTTAAGATCCTTATCTATCCTTAACCAAAAAAGATTAGAAAAGATGCAAGATCATGATAATGTGCAGGCTGGTCAAGATGCCTATTATTCACATTTGGTACAAGGTAATTCATGATTAATAAAGGCATGAAGGGTATAATTAGGAGACTACCAAGATCCTTATATAAGTATTTTCTTTTAAAAGAAATTAAATAGTCACCAATGCTATGCAGTTTTTAAAACATCCATCTAAGTATCTAACAAATTTACTACTGCAGTTGAAACATGGCCAATTGGCAGTCATGTTACCAGTATCTCAACCTCAAACAAGAGTTTTCCTAAGTGTCACATTTGCATTAAACAAAAACAAAACAAAAAACACTCTTCGGTGACGTTTTCATTTGAAAAGAAAAAGGCAAATAGTCAACAACAAAAAGTAGATTTCTTTATTTAGCTAAACAAACATGAAAAAAAATCATCACATATTTGAGGAAAAGAATCAAGCATCTTTATGCTGATGTTCATTACACTAACCTGCATTGTGTTTAGAATAACACCTTCTACTGGAGCGTTCAATGGGGTAACAAATTGGTATCTGAATTGACTATCTCCATGAAAGCAGTAATTATAAATGGTTATATGAAGAGTAGACAAAGGAGAACTAGCCTCCTCCCTCCATCTCTGCAGTATCTAAGCTGCTAAAGCCAAGCAGTGCAGAGAACAAGACTGGCACAGGTGTACACATTCCGAGTGATGCATATAACAGAATACAAAAGATTAAAGTGAACCAGCCTTTTGATATACAGGCTTCTTAACTGCTTAGATATATTTTAAACATATTTTTATCCAGGACTGTAACAAAAAGGCTGTAAACAAAGCACATGTGCTTTGTTTAAACATTATAGCATGGCACATGACTGTCATTTTGTTTGAAGTAACCCTATGAACTTGAGGTATTGACCACAGAACTGGAGTAGACCAGAAACACCTGCCCATCCCCAGAAAAGTGCTAAAGGCAAACAAGTAGATGTAACATTAAACAAATGACTAGTAGGATTTTGACTTTATTCAGATAATGTTTTAATATTACTTTAAGAAAGGACAAACGTGTATCAAAACTAATGAAGCAAAAAAAAAAAAAAAAAAAAAACACTACTTACGGTCGGCAGCTCTTCACTAGTGTTTTTAAAACACTTTCTACAGAACTGAAACACAAAACAAAACATTAGGAATATTACGTCATCATGTATCAAGAACGGCATTAAAAGCAATCATTTGCTGATTTTTCCCCAAGAGTCTAATACAGATGCAATTAGATATCCTCTGTGGACATGCATATGCTAATCCACTTCGACACAGACCTAGTCACAAGCATTAAAAAAAAAATCACTCTGCTAAACTCCTGATTCTACCTTTTATTTCTTTTATGAACTGCGTTTTCACTAGAGCAAACAAATATCATCATTACTTAGAGATACTGCCTTGCACTCTTGACTACTAACCAGTGAAGAAAAGTAACATTTTAGTGGATGCTGAAAACACAAATAGAGAGACTTTTCTTATAAATATTTATGAAACCCATAAATCAACACAGGCAATTAGACTTCAAAAAGTTATAATTATATTCCAAATCCTAAATCTGTTCTTTTCTACTTGTTTTTGTCTGGTGTTTCTAAAAGAAACAGTGAACTATCAGCAACCCAATAGTTATTTCATTGACTTCTCTCTCACTTAAAGAGCTGATTTAATATAAGTTTTCCAGCTAAAGGTGGGAACACTATTCAAGTTAACAGTGACTGTCTTCTATAATATTTTAACAGGAAGTTCACAGGAGAGGGAGATTGAGATACTACACCAATACTATTCCTCAAATAAAATTTTTTACCAGAGAACTTCCTTGATTTTTTAGATATACTTTCTGTACTCTTAAAAACAAGAACAACAAACAGCATCAAAAAATGGAAGATTATCAGATACAGAAATGCTATTTTTATTGCAAGGAAGATGATAGTGAATGATCATCTTCACGATCTTATAAAAGATCAATTTAGATCAATTACTTTTAGACATATGAATAATAAGCATGCATACACACTCTCTGTAGTCCCATACAAAATAAAATGATTCCACACAAGCCAAATAATATATGAAATGGATAAACCACTATTTCTAGAGAACACTTTGAAAGGAAAACACACATACACATAAAAGAAAAAACAATCATCCCCTCAACACCACTTTGACACTCAGTACAAGCAGCCGAATTCATGACCTTTAACACTACTTTAGGACAAAGGGACCTCTAGAGATCATCATCTACTCCAACCCCCCTACTCAAGCAGGAACACCTAGAGCAGGTGGCACAGGTTCTGCAAACTCTGACACAAACAAATGCAAATCTGCAACTTCTTCCAGAAAGTTTGGAGCTTGCTGACAACTTACAATAACTTTAAGGAAGAGCAGGCAAAGCTAAGCACTCAATATAAACAGAAGTAAGATCAAGCTCTAATAAGCTTATTAAGATCCAAGAATAGTATTTAACCCAGGAAGAGTTATATATTATATGGCGGTTGCTTCCATAGTAGATAAAGGGCAAACCAGGAAGAAAAAAAAAAAAAAAAAAAAAAAACACACACACACACCACAATCCTTAAGAGCATTAAGGATCACCATGAAAAACGGTTGTGTGGTAGAACAACAACAAAAAGCATATTACTACATTCTATTTAAGTATTACAAAGGAGAATAAATAGGACAGGAAATTCTAGGCACACTGATGCTGAAGATCAAGTCTTTCAAGCTCACAAGTTTCACTTAGAGAAATACAGGGAAAGAAGAACACTGGACGGGCTTTTCCCTTCTGTCCTCTAGCCACGGATTTTTCACAGAAACTAAAAAGGAGCAGAAAAGTCAACTAACACACACACACACACACACCACCAAAACACCAACGAAAATGCAGCAGACAGAAGTTTCCATGCAAGGAAACATCTGACTAAGATATGGTTAAACCACAAGCCAACTACAGAGGACATCTAGTAAGGTATCAGGGTTATAACTCTGTTAGAAAAGAGCAGGACAACATACCTGGGGAGAACAGGAGGCAATAGGCTGCTGGTTTCCTTACTCACTTTTAACAAACTCGTTCAAACCTCTAGGTAGTGGCTTCTCCTCACCTTTTGCTTAAACTCTTCGTACACCTACTGCTACAGATAGGTTGAAGATATCTAAAACCACCAAGCTAGTAAGTTTATGTATGTTGCTCTACCACTAAATTTAGGTAAAGATTAAAATGGCACAACAAAAAGCAATTGAATACATAAGTCACACTGGTGAAGAGACTACTATAGTTCGTTTTCCCATCTTCTCAGAAGTATTTAGTGCTGACCCAATATTGATAAAAGCTGTTGAAAACAGTGTAGGAGAGATACAGCAAATGCAAGCTTATACTGAAAGGATATCCATTATTTATTGAAATAAAGAGCTTATTCAGTGAACTAAAAGAAATAATTTCGCATCCTAACTGGTCATTGTTCTGATGCTACAGTAGTTTTCTTCGTGTAGGAAGGATACAACCTCATTAGCTTGCACGTGCATCTATTTTCCTCCTGCATTTTCAGAGGAATATAGGTGGGTTTAATTAACATATAAACTGATAGTGCTGACTCTTACATTATCAAAGAGCAGCAAATGCATTATTTTCATTTTTCATGATGAATTCTGGCCTTAAGCAACATAGTAGCCCTGTGGCAGACACTTCACTACAAGAACTTAAAGACAGTAAATAACGAAACATAGGAGTTGCCTGCGGTTTCATATATTAAGTTGTTCTAGTGAGTCTCTATGACATACCGAAAAACAAGCATCTCACTAGATTAGTACATCTAAAATTTTCTTCCTCCAAAAAAATGCTAAAATTTCTCCCTGACAACTGCTTAGTTCTGCTTGTTACCAATTTAAACTATTTCTGAATTCATACTTGCACACCCCACAAATCTTCACTATGTTTTCCAGTAAAAAAAATACAGTGAACTGTTTGGACATGAAATTTTTCACACTTTACTACTTGAACATTAGATCATAATATATTTTCCACAACCTATTCTATGATTTCATCATTTTTAATAGTAAGGTAAATCTATTCAATGACACGTACTCCTATACAAATACCGATTTCGTCCATATTGAGATGTAGTAACTATTCAAATGCAAAATTTACCTTTCACTCAACCCTTGAAATATATATGCTGGTTAAATTAGTTAGCATATAACCACTTTATCAGCCACTTCACACACACAGTATATTGTTCCCCAATTAGAAACGTTTACATACAGTGCGACATTCTCATAACAGTGGTGTAATGTTAACACTGGTTTTCTGAAACAATTATTTATGCAGAAAGTTACACCTGTGTGACAAGTGTTACAGTCTAACAGAACATGCAGAAGATTACACATCGGCCAGAGCTGAACCAAAAAAAGTCATTCTTACCACCTACGTAATACATTAAGCACAAATGTTTTAGTTGAAGACAAGCCTGGTCGATATGAACTGAATTAAGGGAAAAAAAAAAAAAAGAAAAGAGAAAAAAATTTAAACATACAATAATTATTTTAACAATTACAAATCAACTGAATTATTAAAAATAGTCACTTGATATCAAAAAAGGTACCCCTCAAAATTAAATTTAAAATGAAGGGTAAGAAAAAAAATGCACCGTATGAGAACAAATCGCACTGCATATTGAGATGGAGTGTCTAAATCCTAAATATAGTTCATAAAAGATTGAAGTTTCAGACAAGTCATCATCCTGGCTACCTTCCTCCCAGTTTAACTTTCTTTTCCCTCTTGGCAAAGTCTCCTCCCCACTACGCAAGTTTCTCAAAAGTAAATGGCAAATGACTAGTCAATACCACAGGGCAAAGTATACAGTTCCAGCAGGCACTGGCAAACACGCAAAATAAACCAACTAGAACAGGCTCTGCTCCTTTGCATTTTCACTTACACAACACCTACAATTAGCAAAACTGTTCTATTTCACTAAACTGCACTACCAGACTTTTTTTTCAGCTATGTAGCCTTGAGGCAAACTCAACATGAAATACTTCCTAAATGACTTAAAAAGAAAATGTCATATATCAAAAATAAGATCTTTTCAGTAAAATGACCCAAGTATTATACTCAAATATTTCTGGCCAGAAAACAACTTTTCTATTATGACAAACTACGCATGAGAAATTAAGTTTTAATTCAAACAGATTTGATTACTTCATATCTTTTGTAATTAAAATTCACAGGATAGGGCCTCCCCCGATTTCATTTATTACAGAAATTGTGACTGCAGAAATTTGTCAAAAGGGCAGTAGAAGAAAATGAAGAAAACTAGTTTTTGTTTTTAAAACATTAGCAGAACATTTCTAGGATTCCCAACTAGGAAGAAATGCGTTAGTCCATACTGTACACTCACTCTGAAAAAAAAAGTATGTATTTCCTACACAAGGCACTTCACATACTGATTCACATCCAGATTACATATACTGGTAATGCTTAGAACACACACTTTTAATACCAGTACCATTCTTATTTTACTCAAGTCTCATGTAATAAAATTGAAGACATTCAGCCTGAATATCACTGAAATTGGTTAAACTGTGGGTTATTATCCCAAAAGTAAGCTGGCCAAGATACCCATTTTAGGCTATTTAGAAGTCCACTTGACCACATTAATAAAAGGAAAAAATGTCAGAGTGAAAGTAAACCACTGACAGAGAAATACTGAATTCTGTATATGGTCTTGCATACTGAAAATGAAATATAAAAAACTAAGTATATATTCACTACACAAACTCCAAATATCTAAAGCAAATCTGTAAGAGAACCTTCAAGCATTGCAGATACTTTAAAACGCAGACTTACTTAGGAAACCAATTTAATCCAAGATGCTCTGTTTTGGAGTACAGTATCCTTTCCAACATTTCATAAAGTGGTCTCCATGGTAATTCTAAGTCTTCCCTGGAAAGCAGTTCTTTTTTCCTAATAAAATAAAATAATGAGCACATTAGAATTAAACATTTATACTGACACACTTCGCATGGAAATACCACACATAGGAATATTGATGTGAACTATGTTTATCTTCAGCACTTGGCACAAACCAGTGGAAACTCAAGCAAGACAGACACAGACTTTCTCCATGAACACAGGCTAACAAGATCTTCAGGAAAAGTATAAGTAAAATCAAATACTAACAAATTGTGTAACAGTCCTCATTATCTTCTTACTTGAGATTCAACATGTGGCTCTTTTTTCCTTTCCAAAAAAGGAAAAAGAAAACCAATATGCTTTCACTTTCAATTGTAATAGCGAAGTGTTCACATAAGAAAAACTTTTTTAATATCTCCTGCACAGATGATTAGGCAACCTGCAATAAGACATACTAAACCATATAGCAGGCTAAAGACAATGATCAACTACTTGAAGATAAAAATTTCAGCAGTCAGCAGAAATCTGTACTTACTTTAACAGGTTTATCAACAGCCGTGCAAATCCATGCATCATGCTGATCTCCAGTTTTGGAATTGTTACCATTTCATACAACAGCTTAATAAAAAGCACATGATCTTCTTTGCTAAATTTTCTCCCATATAACCGGATATATCTAGAAACAAAACGTGAGATAAATCAGCAATATTTTTAAGCATGCTCATTTGATATAATACCCAAGTCAGATCTTACGTGATTTGCTGTTAAATGAAAATAGAACACACAAAAATAAACCTACTTTCCAAGCCCTGCAGAGAACACAAATCTATAGTAAAAGGATTCTGATCCCTGAAATTAGTAGAGGAAGTACAACATAATGCAGTTTCAGAAAACCTTTTTCTATTATAACTTGAGTATGTTCAGTGTATGTATAAATATATATATATATATACACACACACACACTCTGTGTACATCTATGTTTTGCTATGTTTCTAAGAAAAGAAGACTCAGAAATGAGAATAAGGCTTTTGGGAAACACTGATTTGCAAACAAGGATAATCCTTACACTTTATTTTTTTGCTTTTGCAAGCCAAGAGGAACAGACATTTAACACACCTATAAAGTGCCAACCCAAAAGAATGGGCAAGTGTTAGCAGGTAACATTTCTGTACAGTATTAGACTCTCTCAAACTACAATTAGTCCTAAGTTTCCTCCAAAGGAAAACAGGATTTTAATTCAAGTTGAGTTAGTGAAATTAAAATTGATTTTAAAATCACAAATAAAAAGTATGCTAAACAGAGATATATATATATCAAAAACATTTTTGTGTTTAGTCAGATGAGGTGAAGGAAGTATCACCTTCAATAAATAATCAGATACAACAAAGACAACCCACCGTCTCCCAAGATCCTACAGTCAGCATAACGCAAGGCTCACACAACAAATCACGAAAACAAGGGCATCATTCTTCCAACTCGGTTACTTGCCTCCAGATGTGCTAACTATTAAGTTTAGTATTTTTTATATCTCTATAATTATTCCCTTTACAAAGGGAAAAACTGTCACAAGCAGCTTGACCATATTCTTATCTTGTCCTTTTGAGCTAGTGCACTTTATGGAGACAGGACATAGGTCAGAAGCTAATAAAAAGTGTTTCAAGTACAGTCCAAATTTAACAGCCTGCAGTAAGACTGAGCAGCTTATTTAGAAACTGAGCTTTGCTGGTGGCATGCTCCATTGTTGTCCCTCATAAGTAGTATTATAAGAAAATGCAGCTTTATTAACACTAATTTTGGAAGAAAAACGTGCAGTAGTCAAGTTTAAAAGGAGAAAATGAATACATTTTAACTGAAAATCACCTACTCCAGCAAAACCTATGCAAGATTCCAGTGCAGAATTTTACATGCTGCACAGCTATAAATCACTACTCACCTGGAAAAAACACTTTCCCTTTTTATTTCTGCTCCAACTATTCTGACAGATTCATGAGAAACATTACTAACACACTGACCTCTAAGTAGCTCTTTGACAAAACACATGAGAACTCTCATAAAATAATTTTTGGAGAAACTTATCCACTGTTTTTATAAAGACTTCACAGAGGTTGGATTAATTCATTGCTAAACAAAAACTAGTGGTGCATTAATGCCTATTCTGGTAACAGGAAAAATGCCTGATCTTGCTCTACTTTTCTGGGACGCAAAACACCCTGTATTTCAGAATCCTACACTGTAATCCGAATGCAGAAACATAAGGAAAGAGATCTCTCTGAAGGACTTCTTGAAATTGACAGAAAATATAAGTTGGGCAACTTTTAAAAAAGGCAAACATGAACAGTTAGTGGTCTACCCACCAATCAGAAAATAAACCATCTTGATTCCTGAATTCCTGAAAAGCACGCATTGCTCACATACTGTTTTGGAAGGATTCAAGGTGAAAGTCTGAAAATTTGTACAAGATAGGTGGGGTACTAATAATCAGGCTAGCATAGAGAACTAATAAATGGCACAAGTAAGAGGAAGAGCTATTTCTAGACTTTCAGATAAAAGGCCTTTGGAAAAGAGTTTACTAGAATTAATAGACAAATCACAGGCATTATATATAAGGATTCTGGATGGTCAGCCATGAAAAGACAGGAGCTGCCAGAGCCACTTCCCTTAGCCTTCACTTACTTTTTACTAAAGAGGAAAACAGTGTTCAGAGTCATGACCATATTTTAAAAGGAGCTCACTTGCAAGATAGTGCCTCCCATGACCTTATGCATTTAGAAAGACACCAGCAAATAAGAACAGCATGTTTTACTTTGGACCAGAGGATTCTGAAAACGCTTTCAACTTTCATTTTGTTACTTGTCAGTAACCTGTCACATACACGTTTATCTCCTCTCTCACAAAATTAACTGTAAAGCAAAAAAGTAGGCTTTTTTTTTTTAAAATGGAAGCTTTAAAAAGACTTCAAAATAGAACTACAAAGAACACTGTGCAAGAGATGTAACATACCTAGATACAAGAGAAAGTGATTGGACTGTTACCTTTCTTGACATTTGCTAACCAGTTTTATTACACCAAATCCCATTTAACTAAAAGTACAGTTATAGAGAATATACTGAGCACAAACATGTCACTATGACCAAGTATAACTAAATGTCACACTGCTCCTGTTTTCACAGCTTCTTTATATAAATGGACAAAGAGCATCACATTTTTAAATCTACTTACTTGCCTTAATCCAGCTGTACATTATGACAAGCAGAAAATAATTATTCCTAACAAAGGGCTAATTCCACTTTCCTCAAAATTCAACAAAATCCTAGCAGAAGGATATCAGAACTTCTGATATTTTCAAAATATTGCCCAGTTTTCCTTGCATAGAACAAAACATCATGATTACTAAAGAATACAGGTTTAATTTTACCTAAACCTGCAGTATACCTTGTAGCTATATATGCATGATCACCATATAAATGTTGGCTCTTGTGTGTGTATATATATTTCATATGTATTTATATAAATACACATATGCGTATATATACACATGCACACATAAATATCTAAGTAGCATTAATTGGGTTTATTCTTTCTCAGCATCATCTCCTGCTTCTGGAATAATATCTTTTCAAGAAAAAGGTAAGCATAAAACTGATGGAAAACTACTAACTTCAATTCTAAACACAAAAATTGATGGAAAATATTAAGACTTCTTAACGAGAGCACATAAAACTTAAGGTGCTACTTGAAATCTTAATTTCATTACTCTTTTCAATCCTGCTTTAAGAAATCCAAAGATTTTACGAGTTCTCGACCTTTCCAGTCAATTGCAAAAAAAGCATAAATAAGTAGTGCTTAACTTTACTGGTCCACTGGGTTTTGATTTGGAGTTCAGCTACGCAAAAAAACACGAATTAATAAGTCAACATTCTGTTTGCATCTCCATCATTCTTCTGCTCAGGATAGCGTCTCTGGAGATTAAAAAAAAATAAAAAGCCTACAAACCTCCTCCCTACCCTTCCCCCTCAAAAAAAAAAAAAAATCCTTACTGTAAAAGCATTAAGCATACCAAGCTTTCATTCCAGAATTACAATAGGCCTATTTTTAGGAAATGCGCTATCACATGAAGTGGGTTCCCTGAATTGCCCCAGAAAGTTGGCTTTTGTGCTATAGTTGAAAGTTGCCCTCACTTACGAAGCTAAATAAATTACTCTCCTAAACTCCTAGCCATCTAATTTTATTTTCCAGAATGCAAAAAAAAAGGATTATCATCTGTTCAAAACTATTATCAATAAAACAAAACACTATTTAAATCTCATATATGTATATATCATACCTCCCAAATATGTATCCAGATAGAAATTTGAGTTTTCTTATGAGGATAAGAAAAAAGTAAATAAAATATTCATAATGCAATAGTGGTTGAAATACTTCAGACAAATTTCACTGACAGGTTTTACCCTCGATATCATTTTTGTGTCCTACAATTCAAAACAGTTGATCCACATTTTTTTCATATCTCACAGTAGGATATTTAGGTATCGCTCTGTGAGAAGGCTCTATCCCTAACACAAAATAACACTGTCCAGAAAAGAACCTGTGTCTGAGCTCTAAAAATTCAACCCTTATCTTTTGAAGTAGAAAGTGCAAAAAGACCCTCATGTGTTCTCTCAACTGCATCAATCAATCAATCAGATGTTCTGAAATTATTAAATGTTTTTATGCTAACTCTCATTTAAAAGCTATGTTCTAATATCTGTGCTGAAACTTTCTATGAAAAATGTTAAAAGGTGAAAATTAAAACAGCTGTCTAAGCTTGAGGTAGAGGACCATGAACGAATATGATACAAGTCCATTTATGCAAATAACTGATGCAACTCAAGTGCTGTTTTCCCACAAACACTGTAGCAAATTACACAATTGAGATGCAGACTTACGCTATTACAATAGAATTAGTGTTTTAAAACATACAGATTTTACTGACCAAAGTTGGAGGAGTCTCAGGGTGCTGAAGACTGGACTTCTGAGGAACACTATTAGGACTTAAATTCTAATTATCCAGGCAAGCAGTTTTACTTCTCCAAGAAGTCCTACTAAGTCATAAGCTTCTTAAGAAACTGCCCTATTCCTGTTTTTACAGAAAAGGAAGTTCTCTCAGCAGATGCATGCATTCCAACCACAGACCCCATTTATATCACTGAAAGTTACACATGCAAGAACAATTATGCAAGTCACCCAAGAGGCATTATATCTAAGAAATCTCAATTTTAGTTTTCTTTCCTCATTCAATTCATGACATCAAACAGCTCAAACAGGTTCAGCTGTCACCATGAAATAGTAACTGGTACAAAAATTTTTGAATTTAAATGAAATGTTTTGAGTTTTCACTTTCATTTCTCATACCTCTAGAGTCTATGCACAGCTGTACAAAGCTACAGCAGACCTGAAGAGATAGTACTATACAGGTATATAAACTGAGTGACTTTAAAAAATAATAAAAAAAAAAACACCTCATTCATACATTTCCATATGTTACACTGTCTGCATTATCTTCTTTTTCTGTACAAGATTCAAAACATGTCAGTCTTGATTCTGATTTATGAATTACTTCACAGCATGCAATGAGAGTATTTTCAGGCTTTTTAAATTCAGATATTTGTAATAAAACTAGGCAGAAGTCTTTTGAAGATTCTTCATTTCTGGTCAAATGTGTA